ATGTATGTATTTGCTAAACAACGACAGTGGTCCACCGGAATCTCTCCCCCCACCTGCTGATCGAGACCTCCCCATCAGCACTGACCCACCTACACTGGAGGAGACAGTAAAGGCCATTCAGGACCTGAAGAACAATAAAGCACCAGGCCTGGACTGTGCAATAACTGCGGAAGCCCTTCAGGGTGGTGGACATGTAATGGCCAAATCCATCCACGCATTCTGCACAGAGGTCTTCACCACACTAACTCCCCCAGAGCAGTGGATCACAAATGTCATTATACCCTTACCAAAGAAAGGGGACCTGACCCTGATGACCAACTACAGAGGCATCAGCCTAATGTCCGTAGCGGCAAAGGTGTACAACAAGATACTCTTAATGAGAATCAGAGAACATGTTGACCCTATACTACGGAAGAACCAGGCCGGCTTCCGCCCAAGTAGAAGTTGTGCCCAACAGATTCATATCCTTCGTAGGATCATGGAGGGTTTCCTGTCCTACCAACTCCCACTTACTGTTACATTTATTGACTTTAAAAAAGGCGTTCGATTGCATCAACAGAAGAGTCATGTTCTCCGTCCTTCGTCATTATGGTATACCCGAGGTTATAGTTAGCGCCATCCAAGTACTTTACTATAACTCCAAGAGTGCAGTTTTTGTTGATGGTAACATCTCCGACCCATTCCAGGTTACTACCGGGGTCCTACAAGGAGATGTGCTTGCCCCGTTTTTGTTTATAGTGCTCATAGACTACCTGATGTCAGAATCAACCAAAAACACAGACCCAGGCGTAGTTACGCACCCTCGGCAATCCAGAAGACATCCTGCTCAAACCCTTAATGATTTGGACTTTGCCGACGACATTGCACTTCTTGAGTCAACCATACCCAGGGCGTCAGGAACAGCTTACTAAAACAGCAGTTGCGGGAAACAACTTGGGCGTCATCATCAGTGTACCCAAGACAGAGTACATGACGTACAACTGCAACCCACAACTGCAGCTAGAGGTATATGGACAGCCAATAAGACATGTTGCCAACTTTAAATATCTGGGGTCCATGATGGCCTCTAGCAGTCATGACATGGCCAAGAGGAAATCACTTGCATGGACAGCTTTTTGGAAGCTGGAGAAGATCTGGAGAAGTCCATCAATCTCCACATCCACTAAACTTAAGCTTTTTAACACCACCTGCGTGACAATATTGCTATATGGCTGTGAATCCTGGGTCATAACGGGGGACATGGAGAAAAAGTTAAACGTGTTCGCCACATCATGCTATAGGGTCATGCTTAACATCAAGCGGCTAGACCATGTGAGCAACGCCTGGATCTACAAGCTGACCAACACTCGACCCCTTATCACCATGGTAAGGCAGCGTCAACTGCGATTCCTGGGACATGCACTTAGAATGCCTGTGGGGGAACCATGCCGGACATATGCCCTGTATGTACCAACGCACGGCAAAAGGCGCCCAGGGCGCCAGCGACTGGACTACCTGGGCTACATCCGGAGTCTGTTGGGGGACACCAAGGGTGACCTGCGGCCAGAGGACATTGCCAACCTGGCGGCAGATCGACAGTCGTGGGCAAGACTTGTGGTCGACTGCTCCGCAGCCGGACGATGATGATGATGATGGTACTGACCTATGGCTGATGTATAGGGTGGATGGTACTGACCTATGGCTGATGTATAGGGTGGATGGTACTGACCTATGGCTGATGGTCTGACCTCCACCTCCTCCACACGACTGCCCCCTCCCCCGTTCAGTAGCTGTGTGATACTGGTGACAGGGTCGATGTCTGTTGGGTCTACTGGGATCTGAAATCAGAGCAAAATGGACCTGGTAAACTCAAATACCCAAATTATATTATATAATAATTGTACAATGCATTATTGTGTGAAAGCCCTATTTTTTTGTCACTGCACCTTTGCCTTCCCAAATCCTACCCCAATACCAAATTATGCTGACGAAAGTGTCCGGAAACACAAACAAACACAAAATCAATAATTAGCTTTGAATTTGCAGTTTCAGTCTTCAGCAAGAGATAAATGCCAGGATGATAAACATAATTCGCCAGAATATCTACAGGTTTGTACAGTTATTATAAAGTTATCAATTACAATGTAAGGTGATACTTACAGGCTTGCCCTCTACCTCTGGGTCAAAGAACCAGTCCGACTGAAAAATAATAGGCAGCTCCTTAGTAAGTCCAGTTGATGTCATAACAGATAACTTTATGTCATAACATATAATTCAGTTCTTCCAAGACTTAGTCTTATTACATCACTATTTATTACATATCACTACTATATTACATCTATGACTTTAAGGGCTATGTAAATAGATGAAGATAAAGAGGTTATACATGTCTGATGATGCTCTCCACGATGCGACACTGGTCTGACATGTCCTGGATCATGATGGCCATGTTATCCTGGGTCGTCCTCACCAGGGTGGGACCAAACACTATGGCCAGGTTACGAACCTCCATCTGTGGCAAGACAAGAAGCACATATGAAGGACAATGAACTATAAGCTGGCACATGTACTTTGGGTTTGACAACAAAAATCATTAATACTTTTCTCATAGTAAAAGAGAACAGAAGTGCTTGGAGGACCGTTTGCCGGGGCGCTACACTCCTAGGAGCATGCGGACATGAGTGAGTGAGTGATAGTAAAAGGTTGAACTTTATTCCAACACACAATTGTACAGGGATCAAATTTTCAGCGACCACTGTCGCCTTCATCAGGATAATGAATGACCAATCACTTCACCTGTACAATTGTGTGTTGGAATAAAGTTCAACCTTTTACTATAATGATTACTTACTACCAACACAGAAGAACTTTCATGATAAATATTTCTCTCTTTACGTCGATGAAGGTTAGACATCCAGGTAATACGATACGCCAAAAAAAACAGTTACTCAAGCAATTCAAAATCATATCCAGTTGCTTGAGTAACTGTTTTTTTTGGCGTATTTCTCTCTTTACATGTATCCAAACATTGTCACATTGTTATGAAAGGTTATTTCTTTCATGTATGTTTAATTGTGTCTTGCTATTTCCACTGCATTTCGCATTTCGTGTGGGGTCGTGTGGCGCAGTCGGTAGCGCGTTCGGCTCACACCTGAGAGGTCGCGGGTTCGAACCCTGCCCATGTCACCGAGCTTGTGTCCTTGGGAAAGACACTTTACACGACTTTCCTCACTTCACTCAGCTGTAAATGAGTACCTAGCTTCGGCTAGGGACGTCCCTCGGATAGGACGTTAAATGGAGGTCCCGTGTTTGGGAGAGCCATACCCCACGCACGTTAAAGAACCCACCGCACTTATCGAAAAGAGTAGGGGACCTTCCCGGTGTGAGTGGTTCAAACCTTACAGTCTGGTCTCGGGGTTGACATCTTTGAAAAGGTGATAGTCACCTGTTATGTCAATCCTTCCACAAATGTGGTAAATCTTCATAAATAAATAAATAAATAAATAAATATTCAATCATGACGTAATATGCAGACTGAACATTATTTCAAAGCCCGAGACCACAACTCTATAACAGGTTTACACTGCAATAAGATTGTATGTGCAGTACTAACCATGTGGCATAACGGCAGAGTGCTCAACTCAGAAGCAAGAGGTCTCAGGTTCGAGTCCTGACATGCCACCGATCTTATGCCTTTGGGTACTAAGTCTTGAACTACTTTCCTCACTTAACTCAAGTGAAAATGAGCATTGTCCTGTCCTATACAGTGTATTTGTTTTTATGTATGGGACACAACACCAGCAACAGCTGCCTGTGTCCCACGTGTATTGTATTGTTATTTCAATAAATCAAATCAAACAGTCCTCACCTTGTTGATGTATGACTTTGATGCCACCTTCTTTAAGTGACCAACAAGGAACTTCAGAGTTTCAAAGTGGTGATCAGGAAGTGCGTGGACCTGTGAGGGCAGAATGAATGTTAGTCTCATGGGATTCTATGAACTACCCTCAAATTACCTATAACTTTAGTCAAAACCTACATGCATGCATGGACAGTTCAAAATGAACTATTGGCATTCTATCAATGTTCTAGCCAGCATCTGTTTTTATATCATTTGACGGAATTTAGCCTCTCATGACAGAAAAAAAATTTGGCCTACCAGTAACCCATCTTTGACGGACAGAAATTGGTGACTGTGTAAAGATATGTCACTCAACTAAACTTTAAGTTAGTGAAGTTTGTCTGCCTGCAAAATTTTCCCCTCAAAATGAATGAAATAGCACATTAGAGGGTCAAGTTTTCAAACTTTTCTCTCGGTAGCATGTGTCTTTTCCCCTTAGAATTGTTGAGCTTGACATGTTGAGCTTGACATGTAAGTCAAACAAAAATCAAGGTGACTAGCTGACTAGAGCACTGATTTGTATACAATCATATAAACATTGTATCATGTCATAATAAATAATGGTCTAACAAAATTGGTCTGCATGCTTATTGCTGGTATTTCTGTATCCTCTACAGTGAGTCTACTGACAGAGTACAGGCTGTACAGACTAGGGCTGCGGACCGGTACACTGTACCGGTCCAATACCGTAAAAATCGTTTCGGTACAGGTCCAAAATACCGGATCATGAAGTAACGAGTATATACCGAAGTAGCTAGTTTACACCATGTATATGACTAAAGATAGGTAAATCCTACCACAAAGACGAAAAATTAGCACTGGAAAAGACGTAAACACCGTCGATTGATTTGAGATCCTCAGTCTCACGAGACATCGCGAGAGTGTGGCTGATCCAGGGTTGTGATTGGTCAACAAACTCAAATCAGGTCAGAGGTCAGTCATTTTCCCTTCCCTCCAACACTTTATTATTGTTTCTGTGTCATGATTGAAAAAGTGAAGAACACGTGTTAATTTGTCAAATTGTTCAGGTACAGGTACAGGTCCGGACCTGTACCTAAACCTCTGTACCAGTACCTGTACCTGTACCTGATGTTACGTTTAGGTACCCAGCCCTAGTACAGACTAATATGATACATGTCTCCTGTGTGCATATTAACGTACCAGTTCTCGCAGTGCCCACATTCTTTTTCTGGAGTCCTTGTGTCTGTTTGCTTCGATAAACCTGCCGTACATGCCTATAGTGGAGAACAACAGTGTTAGAACACCATAACAGAACGACACATTGTAACACATTAACTTACATATACAGGGATAATCTAAATTTTATTTATCTCAAAGCAGGCGTCAGGAAAAAAGACCAGACTTCCCACGTACCCAATAGGACAGGGCACCGGAATATTGGAACTGATGCAATCCAAAAAAAGATGATAATAACTAGAGAAGTAACATTTGCAAAGCAATGGTCTGCCCTGTTAATTTTTACTCAAACACATTCACATACATGTACTACGAGTATATGGTGACAGGAGTAGAGCAGACCATGAAATTGCAACATTATGTAACCCAACACCAGTCACCATGGTGACAGACGTCAACAAATCATGTCATTGGCCAGGTTAGAGGTTAGTGTTTTGAACAGAAGAGGAGGAGGAAGAAACTGAGTAAAAACAATTATGTTTTCCTTCAGTAAACATAACAAATCAGTCCGGTACTGGTACCCAATCCTAGCAGCTAACATTTCAACATCTTTTTCATGTCCTTGATTCCTCATACATGTATCCCTAAGTCCCTAATCTATGCACAGTGAGAAACTTACTGTTGGTAACAAGTGGATCCGGGAGTTTCCGGAAAAAAGACTTCAGCAGAGAGCTGATGATGTTGGTATCACCCCATTTCTGAAATAGATATATAATGTTTTACATTCGCAATCAACATTCAGCATGGAGGTAATCACAATATCTTGGGCAAGTTACATAAATGTATAATATTATACCTACATGATTGTACATGTAATCATGCAATGTTACCGTAATCACTAGAATCAAATAGTAGTTTTAAACAGTTACATACTAGTTATTGTAGTGAATGAGTCTGCTCTCTCTTCTACCTTTAAATAGATTACATTGTACTTAGGATGATATTATACAATGTATGTCTAAAGTAAAGCTACCTTTGGCACACTAATGTTAGGCCACACCGACTTAATTTTACGGATCACATCCTCCAAAGAATCTCCTAACTAGTGCGCGCGGGGGATTAAAAAAATTCTGGCCAAAAATAAAAATGCTACTAAACCACAGGAATACAAAGCTGGTACTGTGAAATTGTGGCAGCACATAGCGACGTACGTGTATACCAGAAGCCTGCACATGCTGGCTTTTTGCGGAATTTATGAATCGGTACCGTACGTATGTACTGAGTTCCTGAGTCGTGGAGCTTCTGTAGCCTGGGAGCCATTGATTCCTCCAGAGTTATCCCCAGCTCCCTATTGTCGCTAACCACCATGGACTACCCAGGCCTAGAATCAGGCTAGGGTTTCGGAGGACATGATCTTTTTTTTTTGAGAAGAGGCGAAAATCAATGCACACGCAGATAAATAAAATTAAGATGGTGTGGCCTTATCATTGAAATCAAGCAGTTTTTGGCAGATTTCCTATGTACCCTGACTTACATGTACATGTACAATAATGTAGCCCTCATTTTAAACAATTTTCTTAAACAAGATAGATTTCCAGACATTTCCTGGAATTAGTGGTGCATACCGGTTCACTGGACTTGGATCCGGACTTGTAAGAATGTTTAGGTTCAAGTCCAAAAAAACCTAAAAGTCAAGAACCGAGTCCGGACTTATAACCATAAAAGACCATTTCACATACCCCGTTTCTTTCCAAACCACCTAAAACCTTCCGTAGATTGCAAAATCTTTGCTGCAAAATGAAAAAAAAAATTGCCATCGGGCATCGTTAAGTACCGGCCTCCATGTTATGTGGCCAAAGTTTCACCCAGACAATATTGCAAGGTTGCCAACATGCAATTTTGTATATGCCATGGGTTAACCTAAACCTCTGGATTTGAATCCGGACCTGAACCTAAATGTGGGTTCAGGTATGCACCACTACCTGGAACTGACCTCATCATCCAGGTTGATGTTTTCGATGCCTTTGTTTAACTCCTCCTGCAGATGAGCCACTCCAGAGGAGTTCCCAGGGATCCTGTAGATGCCGATCACCTCCAGACCTTTAGCCTCCACTATGGTACAGCACAGTTCCACTATCAGGGGGACATACTGCAGAAACAACATGCACAGGTTACAGTAGCTGTTCTACTATCAGGGGGACATACTGCAGAAACAACATGCACAGGTTACAGTAGCTGTTCCACTATCAGGGGGACATACTGCAGAAACAACATGTACAGGTTACAGTAGCTGTTCCACTATCAGGGGAACATCCTGCAGAAACAACACGTACATTGTACAGGTTACCGGGAAACCAAATTTTACTTGGGGCAACCTACTAGTATTTTTGAACCTAGGTAGCCCAGTGTGCTACCTAAATTTTAAGAATGCCCCCCTCCCCAAATCATGCCCACTTGGCTTGCACCACTGTATCCGGCAGATGCTTTTCAATTTTAGGTATTAATGGCTATCACTAGTATCAGTTAACTAAAGGCTGTTAGAAATATTGTCAAAGGCGTATGTATGTAACATTACTTAATTTGAGGAAAGTAGTAACTTAAAGGTGGGGCAACCTAAAATTCTGATGGGCAATCGTAATTTTTGCCGTAGGTTGCCCACTGGGCAACCTGGTTCAAAAAAGTATTTTGTAGCTGTGTGTGAAAGGTAAAGGCAGTGGTAGAAATATAAATATAAATGTAATTTTCAGTATGCTGCAATATCCGCAGAATACTGAAATATAAAGTTTTATAAGTATTTATAAATCTGCATTTCTCCTCTGATCTTTCAGTCACTGACGAAAGCTAGTGGATACTAGCTTTAAGTCTGACCGTTTCCAAAATTATCCAGTTGCTTGAGTAACTGCTTCTTCAAGCGTATCTTATTACCTGGTTGTCTAACCTTCATTGACGTATTAGAAACACAACTTTGACAAACCTCATTAGACCCAGATGGCGTACACTCTTCAAGATGTACACCAAACATTCCTATAGGTTCTGGTGATGCTGAAGTCTTGGGACCAAGTCTTCTGAACCACTCCTTCCAGTTCTGCTTCGTCTTGACTGAACCGACATAATCCTCAGGGCCTGGAGGAGAAGGGATGGAGATGTTTACTCACCATTACACACTTCTGCTGACAAGTCACTATCAAGCAATTGTAATATCATATTTTTTTTATTTTTAAACCAAATTTAACATCATTTTTCCCCAACCGGGGGTTAGACGTGCTTGCACCAGGTACAAGACTTTTTTTGAAGCAACCTAACACCAACCCAAACCCTAGTAGGGCCCAGGAACCCTCTAACTGAGGGGGGAAATATGTGTTAAGTGCCTTTCCCAAGGGCACAACGTCTGGGTGCATGTCCGGATATGTCTGGGTCCCACCCTGGGGATTGAACCTGGGTCTCCTTGCTTGACAGTCGGACGCTCTATCCACTACACCACATGGACGCCACCAATGTGTCAGTCAAGCTAAATGTACTATCTATAAAAACTTGTTTGCCTGTCTGTTATAGTTTTACTGGGTTGTGTTGCTCTTTTTAGATTGCATAATGATGGTACATGTACATGTACCAAAGAAAGTTCATCTGAAGCATAAAGGTTTTTATCTAATTAAAAAGCAAAAACCGTAATTACCACAAGAAGATTAAAACAATAATCATTCATTTGACGCATTAAAGGTTTTTATCTAAATCAAAAATCTCATCTTCAACATGACCCTGGCAGGAACCTAAATTCAGCTACAAAATCTGACGTGATACTATATCAAACTGAATAAATTAAATCACATAGATCTGCAGGGCTTAAAATTAAAGATGGTCCAATGGCCACTGACCACTAAAATTTAGGCTGGGACAACTAAAAAGACACTTTGGGACATTTTTGGGACAATAGAAAAAAATAATCAATGTCAGAATGTCATCCCTTCTTTGCTTATCAGGCACACATCCTGGCTTTTGGATCTGAAAAAGTCGCTCAAATTTCCTGTCTGCTCTGCAATTATAGTGTGCCTGGGAGTAAACAAAGTAAAAAAAAGTCATACAACTTCCAAAAAAGGAAAGGTTGGGACAGTTCACCCTCACTTCGGGACAACTGAAATTTCTTTTTGGGACAGTGCTGGGACAATAGGAAGGAAAGTTAATTTCGAGGCCTGGATCTGAATCAATTAGGCTAATCCTAAAGTGAACAGAACATGTAACTCTATAACAGTAAGCCTGATGTCTGTACCTTTAATGGCTTTCCTGAAGGTGGAAGGAGAAGGTTGGGAGCCTTTCGGCCGTCTGGTTAGTCCCCGCAGCTGGATAGTAGGGGACGGAGCTGCCCGTCCTGTGGCCTGGGGGCTGGACAACAACAAACAAACAAACAAACAACATCTATTAGTATCTAAACATTCATTTCAATTTCTATAGTATTACTGAACCACTTGGGACTGGACAAATTATGGCCTCTGAATCTTTTTGGAAGAAATATTACTGTACACAAGATTTAAAGAGAGAGAAACATACTCAAACACCAGTATTCCTACCATGTATTTAACAATGCCATGATGTCTGGAATGTCTATACCTTTCTCATCTGAAACTGTGCTTTTATAGTACAGACAAAAGTTCTGATTCCTAATACAGGGCCAACAATAAAGTCCACCTGCAGCTGCTTGCTATCATACATGTACAATGTAACTAAGACTATTGATTGAACACTCAGTCATAGTGTGTCCAGGGAAACATAATTGGGGCCAGACGTAACGTTGGTGCACCTACATTGTAAGATGTTTCCCTACATGTGCATACAATGAACAGGTGCAATGTACCTACATTTTGTAGTGTGTGTCAAAAGTCATGTGTGTGCCTACATGTACATCAACATAAATTTGCCCTATGACAAATCTGTGTACCATGCCTATTTTGGGACAAAATTCTAAAGGTATGTCCACCCTGCATTGATTCAGTTGTCATGCATGCAACTGCTTCTATCAGCAAATACATCATGTTAAACCTTTTATTTTTAATCTGGTGAAAATCTAATATGCACAAGCTGAAATTTACATTAAGTGGCTTTTACTGGGTACAACCAGAGGGAAATAATATACACAAGAAGACACATGCATGAAAGAGTTGTAGAGACAGATACCTTAAGAAAAGTTTGACAGCACTCCTTACTATTATCCTAGGTCTGAAGAGGAAAGAAGAAAGGTAAGAAAATAAGGCTGAATCCACTGTAGGATCAAAGAGTGATAGGTGCATGGCACTTTTACTATAATTAAGTCCAAAGTTAGAACTGCACCAACTGGGCTATGTACAGTAGAAATGCATTTTTGAACCATCCAAATATCATAATTGTGTTCTTTGAAATTAAAAACTCCACCAGTGACAGTGCACACTGATATGCACAAAACATTAATGTTATCAATGTCCTCAACATGAAAGGTAACTTATACGTGATATACTGTCCATCTAAAGATAGATTTTCAAGTCACAAAGATTAGTAATTCAGGAAATCGTGTTAGGATATGTGAGGATGATAACATGACAAAAATCAGCATACAGTCAAAGCCGACCACGGGAAAAATGTGGACACCTTGGACAGGTGGTCTCTTTGAACTTGCGTATTTGTTATCTCATGCGCTAGACTCGCTAGGGCCCTAATTTTTGGGTGGCAAAAAGCTCTTGACCACATGATGATTGACCACCAAGTGATGATTGCCATGATAATGAAATGACAGAATCATTCCTTTGTGAAGGGAGAATATGTTTTCAGTGTTTTCAGTAAACTTTAACTGCTTGCTTACACTCTGTTATTGAAATAAAGTCTCCCCACAGGCTGGGATGAAGTTAGTAAAGGGACAGGAAGTGAAGGGGAAATGATATAACCACAGACTGACAGGAAAGTTCAACTGGAGGTCAAAATGGTCTCCCCACAGGCTGGGAGGACGTGAGCAGTATGGTGTGGAATACTCTCCAAGCAGAGGTTTGGGTTTGGGGTTATTTTTGGCATGTTTTTAGGCCTTTTAATCTGGGTTTCTCTTTTGCACTGGATTTTTTTTTGACCCAAACCAATTGCAACCTCTGCCGGTAGTCAAAAGCTTCAATGTGCTATAAACCTAATCACTTCAACACATTACAGTCGTTCTGCAAGTAGGTGTGAACCAGACACATGAATAGGCACAGTCAGCAGGAGGCGTGCGGCTGAATGAATGTCTTTCTGACTGCCTGGATGTGTGATAATAAAATGGATATCCCTAATGATAATTTGATGGTTCCCGGGGAGGAGCACTGTCACGTTTCTTGAATAGGTTTGCCCCGCCCCGGGGTGAGTGCCGGCAGAGGTTGGGTTGGGTAAAAAAACAATTCTATTGCAAAAGACAAACCCGATAAAAAAGCCTAAAAACATGCCGAAAATAACCCCAAACCTCTGCTTGGAGAGTAGGTGTGGGAAACAATAATGAATAAAACAAGAAATTCAAACTCTTAAGACTTACACAACTCTCAGACTAGGAGTAGGAGGGTGCACGAGAAAAGTCATGGAAGAGAAGGAAAAACAACACATAAGCTTAGGGAACAACAGCAGAATGCAATATGACAGGCATTTTTCCTTTTGACCTATTATTTAAGTCTTGACTGTTATTAACTACATTGTAACAGGGCTCGGGTGCATGTGCACCTTAGTGCACCCAAAATTGGAGCTGTGCACCCAATATTTTTCTGTAGGTGCACTGGTGCACCCTAATATTTTTGTAGGTATTTTTGTACATATCAAATGTATAATAGTATGAAGGATATTATTGGCATCTAAGTGTCAGAAAGATAATAAAATCTTTGTTGTAATTATATTTAAGATTTTAAAGTTAGCTCCCATTTCAGGTTCAAGCTCAGATGAGGAGCAGTAAGATCTGTAATTAGATTTTGTTTTATATGCAGATCACCCAAACAAAATTTTGAGCACCTAATTTTTTAGCTTGGGTGCACCAGTGCACCTATTCCTAAAAATGAATTTCGAGCCCTGTTGTACATTGTACATACATACATATACCTACTGTGGGCAGCTTCCGTCACTGGTATCTAACATGTACATGTACAGTTAACATAAAACTTTGACAGTGGATAGGTTCAAAAATGATGGAGGTACAAGTGCCTACTTACATGCAAAGCAACAGGTGTCCATGAAATAGCGCAAACATTTCTACTATCATATTCTCAGATTCATGAGGTAGTATTTTGGCCTGGTGCTACAGTAATGTATGCAGAAACAAGTTCTGACTCACTTGAGGAGATCCCCATACTGCGTATGTCTCTTCAGGATGAGTTCCCTGCTACCTACTGCTTCCTGTGATAAAAGAAACAATCCACCAATGAATATATCTTAATATCATAATTATGCATGATATATATCATATGCACGTTATACATCCGCCTTCCCTACTACAGCAACAACTTTACTTCTCCTTAAAGTGTTCAGTGGCTCTTGCGTCCTCATGAAGCGTGTGACATAATGGTTGCGTATTTGGCCTAGAACCCATAGGCCCTGGGTTCCAATCCTCCGGCATGCCCCAATGTTGTTCCCTTAGGAAAGGCATTTAGGACTTTCCTTACTTCACTCAGGTGGAAATGAGTACCTACAAAATGTAGCTTTTGTTAGGGACGTTCCTCAGTTAGGACATTAAATGGAGGTCCCGTGTTTGGGGAGAGCCACACTCCATGTGCACGTTAAAGAACCCACCACACCTTTCAAAAAAGAGTTAGGGACATGCTCTGGTGTGGGATGGCACTACTACCTGAAAGTTGGTGATTCACTACAGAAGAATAGTGTGAAATGTACACTAATGGAGATCCTAATAGTACAAATAAGCATGGAAACAACCCCAGACTTACCTCATCATCCTGAGCTGCGTTGTTCTGGATAGCTGAGATCCAGGACAGCATGTCATCATGGTTCTCAGCCTGGGGATATGAACAGGACCATTGTCATTTACAGGTACATGTACAGGTGTATGTACATGAGCATCTCAGCCTAATGTATTGCACCTTTGCGAAACCTGTTATGTATTGTACATAGCATTTTGGTAGAACCTCTCATTTAAGGTCAAATTTGTGTATTTAAAGGTGAAATCTCGTCTATAGTATTCAAATCTTTTCAACAGGCAAAATTCTGGGTTTCACACAACAAAGTACGTTCTGCTGATGTGCTATTTACATGTACATGTACATTATAATTGGATCTTGAATACAAGTGAATCAGGTACTGAAAATTGTGCCCAGTATAACATGGAGAAGGCTATCTTGTCAAGTACTCAAACACCTGGTCCAGATTTACATTTAGGGAAAAGATGTGTCGTACAACACCTGACCTGTCGTAGGACAGTTTAAAGTTTACACACAACTGAGAGTGCCACTTTTTTCCTAGTGTAAATCCTACTTAATCTTTGTTGTTGTCCCTTATGTACATGTACTCCCTTACATTAATTTTGTAAAATACTGTACATGGTTGACAAAATGTACAATCATGACATGTACATGAGACATTTCAAATCTTAATCTTAGGCCACACCAATTTAATTTGTTGCTTCTCAGATTTTTTCAGAAAAAATATGAAGTGACAGGGCAAAAAAAAAACAGGCCAAGGCACCGCATGATAGCCAAAAATGGTACAATATGAGCTATGAAACCAGGCTGGTTTATAATCAAAACAATTATAGATTTTGAACTTGTAATGAAACAAAATTGCATTGTTACACTGAAAAACTTTAACAACTAGGAAGAAAAGGACTTTCTTCAAATCTTGGGGCCAAGATATATCTTTCATTGAGCATTTTGCAGTTGATTTAGAACATTTTTTTTCTTTTGCAAATCAGAAAAAAATGGACAGGGTGAATCCGAGAAACAACAAATTAAATTGGTGTGGCCTAAATATGTCAAATATGGCACACATCAAAGCGGTGAAAACACCTACCTGAAACAGATACTCGACACAGTTGACTGAACTGTGAGTCAGCAGCCTGAACACATTCTTCCTCTTGGTGTAATCATACGCGATGTCGGGGATGCTCCCCTTTATGCTGATGGGATGTTCATCTCCAACGGCTACAGTCTGGAAACAGCAAGATTTCACGGTCAGGGTGATCATATCACAATGACTAGGGTTGTCTGAACTTTGTTCCAAAATAATCCTCCCTTGACTTGTCCTTAAAGTTCTCATGACACCAAAAAATGACCTTAGCTGATAGTAATTGACATAACTAGTATTTACCTGGCTATCAGACACATTTACAATAAATATGCACGGTTCTCCTGTTACAATACATTCGAAATTCTAATGACCTGCCTTGGAAAAGTCAGCACAAGCCAGTACTAGCGGGTGATGTGCATCTCTACATTTTGCAAATTGTTTTATTTTTGCATTTCTGTGCTTTTTCCTGAGCTGACATCACTGGATGACGTCAGCTCAGGAAAAAATACAGACATGCAAAAATAAAATGTAGAGATGCAAATCACCCTTGAGTAGTGCTGTGTACCTAAACCCATGTTTACATGTAGGTTCAGGTCCGGATTCAAGTCCAGAGGTTTAAGGTTCAGTTCCTGACTTGTAAGTCCAGACCTAAACCCATGGCATATACAAAATTGCCTGTTGGCAACCTTGCAATGTTGTATGGGCAAAACTGTGGCCACATAACATGGAAGCTGACAGTTGACGATGCCTGATGGCAATGTTTTCTTCATTTTGCAGCACAGATTTTGCAATCTATGAAAGGTTTTAGGTGGTTTGGAAGGAAAAGGGGTATGTGACACGTTTTTGTTTAAAAGTGCTCTATGTAGTTTTTTGGCCGTCTAACCTTAAAACAAAAAGTCGATTTTCTGGCCATTTCTTTACATTGCTAGTTGAATAAACCCTACCGTGTTACACCGATCCATTCAGTTCATGGAGGCGAGACAATATTTTTGCGATACGAGCGGTTAGAAAACTGAGAAATCGCACACGCGCGCTTGGGTGTCCGCCATGTTTGTTGACTTCCGAAACGAAAACCGTTGTTTGTTTACGTTCCAGCGGTGGCATCAACTCGGTGCCACCGGGAACTGAGCGCACATCGAGCGGACTGTTTTTGCGCTAACAAAATACGCCAGAAACGTGATTTAATGACGCAAATGTGTTGAAAAGTGATAGTAAATGATGATAAGACCAAGATTTGTTAGAGTCAGAATATTTGATTTTTTTGCGCAAAAAACTACATAGAGCACCTTTAATAAGTCCGGAATTGGTTCTTGACTTATAGGTTCTTTTTACTTGAACCTAAACATTTTTACTTGTCCAGAACCGGTCCAGCGAACCGGTACACAGCACTACCTTTAGTCTTTGCCAGGGAATAATAACTAAGGATGGATATCCCTTCAGCTGCAAGACCAACTTGTTGTTTTTTTTCATCCTATTTGACATTGGTAAAACAAAATTTTCACCACAAAATTAATGAAAGAAGTTAGAATTTTTGCATAGGATATTCAAGGAGTTCATAATGCACCAAGGAGTTTTCAAAATATTAGCCAGGTAAATTCATGCAATCATGGCACCTAATTGAAGCAGTAGAAACATGACATTGTGACATTTTGAAAAGATTTATCATAAGGCCACACCAATTTGATTTCTTGGTTAACGGATTTTTCTAGAAAAATAATGGAGCGGGCAGGCGAAAAAAAAATAAAAACAGGCCTAGGCATCGTATTATGGCCCAAAATGGTACGATAGGAGCCATGAAGTCAACACACCAGGCTGGTTCAAAATTTTAACATTCAATGAATTTTGAACTTTAAATGATACCATTGCATTGAAAGATGGAATAACTGTAACAACTAGGATGAAAAGGTCTGTTTTCAACTCTTCAGGGCAAAATATGAGCATTTTGCAGTTGATTCTGGATTTTTATTTTTATTTGCAAATCAGAAAAAAATGAAGCGGCGAATCCGTTAACCAAGAAATTAAATTGGTGTGGCCTAAGTGTTTAATTGTAATATAACTATTCAAGACTTCCTTTAAAGTTTAAAGACTTCTTAAAAGTTTAAAGTTTAAAGGAAGTCTGGAGGGAAACACTAGTTGTCATGCATCAGTTTCACCATTGATGCCAGAAAGTTGTCATTATTCTGACCGACAGCAAAGCTGGTTGATTCCAGAAAACAATTGGGTGACCTTGTTGAGAACTTCCTTCTGTGACATTTTGACAGACAGAAAGACCTACTCTCCAAGCAGAGGTTAGGGTTTCGGGTTATTTTGGGCGTGTTTTTAGACATTTTTTATTGGGGTTTCTTTTTTTTGACTGGAATTTTTCTTTCATCCAATTTTTCTTTCAAAGAAAAATTCCAGTTCAAAAATAAACCCTGTTAAAAAAAGTCTAACAACACGCCCAAAATACTGTAACCGAAAACCCTAAGTACCTCTGCTTGGAGAGTAAGAAAGACCTACCACTGGCCCTGCTCTTCTCTCCTTGCAGATGTACAGCATGTGAGCTTTCAACACAGCCCAGGCCTCTTTCCACTTTGCACCACTCACTCTCTGTAAGGACCATACAGGTAGCATATTAGGCCACAGCAAGTAAATTTTATGGATGACAATCCCCAGACTCCAAATCTAATGCGAGCGGGCGAAAAACAAAAACAAGGCGAGCCGAAAAAGCAAGGTTCCTACATTTTCAAATTTTTACTCAATATTATTGTAAAAATGGTTTTGATTCAGTAGGAACATTATAATATATATATATACACAGCCACCATCACATATCACTGCATCAAAGTAAGAAACAAAACATCAGAGCCTTTTCTTGTCTCCTCTCTTCAGTTATCTGTCATCCACCTTCCTGCACGGAAACAGACATCTTTGCCCAGTGTTCGAAATACCTGTCTGCAGTCTGCAATCTGCAGATAGATTTTCAAGATTGCAGAAAAAAAATTTATACAATCTGCAATTTTGCAGCAGGAAAAATTGGCAATTGGGATTTGGTGCTCTTGGCCCCAAGGACAGACAACACTTAAGCTCCTGTTCTGAAACAACAGGAGCTTCTTCACTAATTTACATCAACCTTGTCTTGACCTGTTTATCTTTTGTTTCCTTTTGGACTTCCAAAAATTTGTCTTCACTAATTTGCATATCAATCAATAGTTCATGCTTATAAACTTGCAAAATTGTAGTATAGAGGATTGTGTATTTGCAGAAAGTATTTCCAAATTGCAGAACAAAACTTTGACTCTTCTGCAATATTGCAGAGCACTGAAAAAAAAGTATTTCAACCACTGTTTGCCTATTCTTTGCATATAGACCATGGTTCCTATGGTCCTTTGTACGGAAGCCTTGTCACATTGCTCCTATGGTCCTTCGTACAGTAGCCTTGTCGCATTGTCCCTATGGTCCTTCGTACGGTCGACCCATACCACCATTATGATAATTATTAATTTTCTATCCCTAAGCCAGAGGCCTAAAAATCCCTGACTCCCTACCTTTCCTTTCTCGTTAATAGAGAGTCTGTAGTTGAGCCAGCCCTCCTTGATGACATCAGCAGTACTCGTGGTCACAGGTGCTGATTCTGAAGACCTCCTCACTGCAAGACTTTCCTCTGTCGCTTCTTGGATCTTAGGTGTCTGGAAAAGTCAACATCACATCCGGTATCAATCATCATTTTAACAAAATGTTCCACCACTCAGAACTTTTAAGCATTCCACTAGGTTTTCAACTAGCTCACACAACTTCCAACGTCCAAATTCCTTGTTCAAAATCTTTTTACAGTGACGGTTTCTTTCCCCGTACGGCCAAGCTTTAGAATTCCCTCCCAGACAAGTGTTTCCCACCAACCTACAATCTATAGGCTTTTAAATCAAACGTTCACCGTCATCTCTTGACATAGCCATGTTTCTCTCCTCTTTCTAGTTCAATGCCGAGAAGTGGTCGCATAGGCCTTGCATTAAACTACTCCTTTAAAAAAAAAAGTATTGTGTGGCGTAATGGTTGAGTGTTTATTCCTGAACCCATACAATGTACATGAATTCTCTTACATGTACCAATGTTGTGCTCTTGGGAAAGGCACTTCGCACAACTTTCCGCACTTCACCCAGGTGAAAATGAGTACCTAACTTTGGTTAGGGACGTCCCTCAGATAGGATGGTAAAATTATAAATAGAGGACCCTGTGCTTGAGGAGAGCCACACCCCCTGTGACGCATGTTAAAGAGCCCACCACACCTTTCAAACAAGAATAGGGGCATGCCCCAATCTGCGATGGTCCAAATTTTAACATATGCTACAGAATGCATTCCCTATATGATTCTCTACCTTTAAATGAAAATGATGAATAACGGGTGAGGAAATATACTAAAAAAATAGTGAAAGAAAAGAAGCAAATAAGAGAAGAAAACAATCTTTTCGAGAATGGGATAGTTTTTTCGTGCTACTAAAAACCCATACAATGGTAAATTAACTTACATTTTCTCCAAAGAAACTCTTGAGTTTCCTTATGCTGGGCATCCGTTGTGGAGTGTATCTGGAACAAGAAAGTCAAAATTATCAGTCAAAATTCACTGTGTTTAAAAGCTGGAAACACATCTGTCAGTCATGTCTGTTTACATTCTGGTATTTTGTGGTGGTACCAGTGCAGAGTATACCTTGTGTGGGGGGCTGTTTTAATGCCAATCAAAAATATCAGAAATGTGAGACAATTTAATAAATATGTTAAAAAGTGGAAATAGATTATTACACAAAGCTTTTTTCATCAAAATGTTTCAAATTTTGGTTACAAAATGATTGTCCTTTTACCAACTCATTACACATTTTGTCATAAGAGGGAGTAAATGCTAATATGTATGTGAACACATACAGGTATCACTGGTAGTACTCAAAAACTGTCAGTGTACGAGACAATCTTAAAGTTTGTGTTATTTCTGAATAATAATTCAAACAATAAATTTTAACCTTTTCATTAAACAACTATGTTGATAGATGGATAAAATGTAACAACTAGAAAGGCAAAATATTACAATTTTGAAATAGACTCACAACCTGAAATCTTTTTTTCCCTTTTGTAAATAAGAAAAAATGAAGCAGGCAAATCCAAGAACCAAATGAATATTAAATTGGTGTGGCCTAAGAAAGGACACATTATACTGATGTAGAACATATGAACAAGTGTTCTTACTGTTCTTTGTTAGAGAACACGTCGTCTGATTCTGGAGACAGCTGGTCTGCTTCAGGTGACGTGGCCATCAGGTAGGAAGAGCGGCGTGTGCTGCGCACCTGGTCAGCACCTGCAGCAGCCGCAGAGAGATCACATCAGTTACTACCTTCCACCTAGTACAGCATTAATAGTGAAAACCCTTCCTTTCAGTGCATAGGGGCACTGTATAGGGGCCCATCTCTATTTCTATAGCCCTTTGGCTACACAGGGGCAGTACAATGGGGGCTAGTCTACTGGTGTTCAACTTCCATACTCTTTTTCTTGTAGGTGCGCTAAGCAAGAAATACCATTTTTCAAGTCTTAGATATGTTTTAAACCCCAGACTTCTGATTTTGAATGCTACTGCGAAGTAGTGTAGGGGCCCCTACGCTAACATTTGACCCACTACGCTAAATTACCCCCCCCCCACGCCAATTTTTAATACAGCGTAGGGGCATTATGACTGTATTTCTATGTTCAAGAATGCCAGATCAAAATGTGAAAAATTACCAATCAAGGATACATATTGTACATACCTTAGAAATAACATTTTTTCCCTTTGGGTATCCCTCAAATGGCCTCTTTTGTAGCTAAATTTTTAAAAGCCTCAAAAATGCTTTCTAGTTATCATAGAAGCACTTTTGAATACTTGAGATTCAAGACTCGGAATGACAACCTGCCTATAGGGCTTATTCACCACAGATTGTCACGTGACTCTCCCCCTGGCGTCCGCCATTTTGGGGCTACCGCTATGCAAGATCATGCAATGCATGCTATGCAAACTCTTGGCGATAGTTGTGTATTTTGGGCCACAATCTACGTTTTGGACACTCTTCTTGTTAGTAACATTGTCCTTTGGGTTGTTCTGGCTCCGTGTCCACTTTTCATGTTGTCAAGATTGGCTTTTCAGTCTTTCTTTGCTGATCAGAAATCGGTGTGTTTAATCCTGGCGCGGCGTACGGGGCTGTACATGTACATGTAGATTGAAACGTGGGTAGCCATGAAAACGGTAAAATGTTGGACTCGGAGCTACTTGTCCCTTTACTCTGTGGTAAATCTCCATGTAGAACAGGGTGCTGGCAACGTGTAACACTCACCTTGTCCAGCCACAGTCGCGGTAGTGCGGACTGAGGATGGCGGCCGATGGCCTCGCCTTTGCTTGTTGTTTATCCAGACACACTCCGGGGCTGTTCCAAAATAGCCACGACTTTTTGCGTTTCCCGACTACAACGTACTTAATTGTCACCACGCAACTGTCCCACAACACTTTCTACACATCCTGATACAACGCTTCCAGACTCTTGAACCGATCCTGTGTGTAAAAACTTCTGCCCAGTACCAAATACGAAGCTAAGTCACGTCAATGGACTCCGCTGGCGGTAGACGCCGTTTCTATCAGACTGATCAAAACTCAACAGAAACGGGTCAATCCCAACAGATTTTATTTTGTTCCAGTAACGAGAGGTATGAGTGGTGGTAAACTCTTCGTGTAATAGGACAAAGGACAGTTTACCTAACGTTTGTCGGCCATTTCAATGCTTGGAAACTCGCTGTAGGCGCTGTAGCCCCAAAATGGCGTCGCACGGGACATGAGGGGTCGTGACGTCATGATATATAGATGACGTGTGGTGAATAAGCTCTATATCTACATGTGGAACAGCTGTTCTCCTGTATCTACACAAGAAACGTGGCAGGATTTCAGCCCTGACACAGACAGCAGGAAGGAAGCTGTAGTGAATAGAAACAGGAAGTTCTGCATAGAGAGCTGCCGGACTGCGGACAGGGCCTGCTGCCTGGACTTGGAAACCTTGACTTAGGAACCATGTCTGTGTAATGTTGTGGTTCAGTCTCAGGGCTCGAAATTCATTTTTGGGAATAGGTGCACTGGTGCACCCAACCTAAAAAAATTAGGTGCACAGAAAAATTTTTGCGTGCACCATATAAATCAAAACCTAATTACAGATCTTACTGCTCCTAGCTATTATATAGTATGAGCTTGAATCTGAAATGGGAGCTAACTTTAAAAATTTTAAACAAGTACTACAAGTTCATTATTTTTCTGACACTTATTATAGATGCCAATAATATCCTGCATACTACTCTACATGATAATAATACCTACAAAAATATTTGGGTGCACCCACAGAAAAAATTTGGGTGCACAGCTCCGATTTTGGGTGCACTAAGGTGCACATGCACCCAGTATTTCCAGCCCTAAGTCTGCTTATACAAAACCAGCTGCCCATATACATATGTAGGCCAGATTATATTTTACAATGTATACATACATGTAAGTCTTCTAAGTATGTAGATATAGTTGCAATTATATATAGTAATGAAGACAAAAAATAATGCCAACAGATAGAATCCTATGCAATGTAGAAAACAGTGAAGTTCATTGTTATATTAATGTATCTGAATATCTGTGACCCCATATTGGTAACTTATAATTTATACATATAACTGTTCAATGATGATGTGAAACTGTTTGAATGCATCTACAAAAGGGATGGCACTGCACTAAGGGAGAGAAGAGTTAGTAACAGTTAGACTAAAGGCATAATCATTCATTCTGCAAAGCAAGCAAGGCTGTCCAAGCAAGAATGAAGCCTCATGTAGATGTATGTGAGTTGTGAGTACCTACCCGTGTTCACATTTTTCTCTCTCAGCACCACCACCGTGTGGTCGTTACTGGTACTGCAGGCAGCTGTAGTGAGGCCAGCAGCAGGGGAGGAGCTTATATTGGCCTGAGCATGAGTCCCTGAGCTTACATGGAGCTTGGAAGCCATTTCCATGGGGATTGCTGTTTCATGCAAATAGAAGTTGATTCAGATTTAAACTGCAAGCGGGGATGCTTAATGATTAGCCAATTCTGAGTTACAATTAACATGTTGCAGGATATGTGATTATCATTTTATAAAAGCATTGTGCCTTAGACATAAGCAACTACACCACAAACTGTACATGTATGTATCTCACCCCAATTTTTCTAACAAGCTTCATCACACATGAAAGTAAGGCTTAGAAAAAATGTGTTTCCTGTTCCCTAGAAAAAAACACAGACCCTAGCCTTTTTGTGGACCCCTGCAAGGGACATAAATTTTTCAAGCTGATCAACCTTTTCTAGCTTCATGATCTGACACCTGAGTGATGAAACATTGTACAATCAGTTTTCCAACATTGACATGGAAAATACAAGTGTCCTTATGTAGGTTTTACTTTGTTAAACTGTACTGTATGATTATTAGAGATAGTCAAAGTCTTTAAAAAAATTGAAAAAAAAAAATAATCCCTACCTACTGACCCTGATATTTCCAGAACTGAAGTGAAACAGGAAACCAGTGTACAAAATACTTTTTTGCACCAGGCAAAAATTAGGTTGCTCATCAGAATTTTAGGTTGCCCCACCTATAAGTACTACTTTCCTCAAATTAAGTAATGTTACATACATAAGCCTTTGACAATATTTCTAACAGCCTTTAGTTAACTGATAACTAGTAATAGCCATTAATACCTAAAATTAAAAAGCATCTGCCGGATACAGTGGTGCAAGCCAAGTGGGCATAATTTTGGGGGGGGGGGCATTCTTAAAATTCAGGTAGGTTCAAAAATACGTTGCCTCAAGTCCAATTTGGGTAACCAGGTATTTTGCACGTTGGGAAACACAATTTTTTTCCCTAGGCTTAAGGACCTAGTAATGTTCCTACCTGTTGAGCTGGCTGTGACTGTTGTCACCCCGCCCGAGCTGCCCTTCCTCACGTTCACCGTCACAGTCTTGGTGCTCGCGCCTGTCGCCCTCACACTGCCAGCCTCCATCGCATGGATGTACGACTCCTTACGCACTAACGAAGTCTTCTTTCCTGAAAAATCCTCCTTCTCAGTACTGGACGCAATCTCGCCGTCTGACGTGATGCGTACTCTGGTGGCGTAGTGGATCCCTGTCATGTCCACCTTCTGTTCTGATGTCTCCGGTACAAACACCTTAGTACTGGTGGACCTTTTTGGCTCCCAGTCCGTGCTGTGCCTCTGTATGGTGGGTGTGGAAGCTTTCTTCTGAACCCTAGTTTCGAACTGTGCCGTCCTGGCGGCTACTGTAGTGGAACTGACGGGTATTCTCTTGGCAACACTCCTACTCTCCACGTCCACGGTGGTGCCTCCTCTCCTGCTAGTTTCTGGTGTGTACCCTGCTTGTACGTCCAATGACTGGGACTTGGGGATCTTGATGTGAATAGTCTTTCCCCCGGATTCTCCTCTTTCAGTGGTGACTCTGATGCCAGCGGTTGGATCTGACCTCACACTGGACACACTTTCCTTGCTGCCGTACTTTCCTTCATCTATTCTGCGCAGACCCTGTGAACTACTCCCTCTCCTGAACTCTCCCAAGTGTCTGAGATGTGGGGAATCTCTGCTGCTACTCGAGTCCGGCACTGGCTCAGAGGAGGACCGAGAATGGTCGGGTTTTAGATGCATAGAACTCCGATGTGCCCAGCGCAGCTCATTCACAAACGACTCCTCCCTGGTGGCACCTCCTTCAGCCTCCTGTTTCTTTGTATCAGTCTGTGTGCCCATACTGACCAGTTTGGAAGATGTGTTGTCCGTTGTTTCCTTAGTAGCCATCCGTCCGACTGCTGTGTCTATGACTGTGTTCCCATCCTGTATCCTAAACCGTACTTTCTGTGACATCGGTCCTCTCCTCTCCTGTGGGCTGTACCCTCCAGCTTCCCCTATTCTCTCAAACCTCTCCACCATTTTCCCCAGTGCTGACTCGGAACTTCGGCGAGAAATCTCAACTTTCGTAGTTTTCAATCTGGCATCATTACCAGCAACGTCCACCGAGTTGGAGCTCCCACTGTCCCTGCTCCTGATACTGGACAGGGAACCTGTGCTTTCTGCAGCCAGCTCAGAACTTATACTCTGTTGTCTCAGGGACGCGTAGGAAGCTGACTGCATTCTGGCCAGACTTTTGTTGGCCTGGATGTCCAGACTAGGTGGACTGGGAATCTCTGCTGCACTGCCTCGATACGGATCACGGAAGCCACTGTAGGCAGAGTTCTGGTAGGCCTGGTGCAGGGAGGGAAGATACAAACCACAGTTAAAGAATGATCTATTTCTCTTTTTATCATTTATAATGTAACATCCTATTTTGCATAACTCACATCAAACGTCAACAAGAAACACTATATATACATGTAGCTAGTAACCAGACTGTGAAATTTGCAAACTCAAACATACTCGAGATTACAGCAATTGGTCAATGGCCATTTCATTTTATTATCTTATTTAACCAGGGAGAAACACTGGCCAAAACTAAGCTGACAATTATCATGTACCACTTCTAGCATACTATATACAGGGCTCGAAATATTGGGTGTATGTGCACCCATATTTGGAGCTGTGTACCCAATTTTTTTGTGGGTGCACCAGTGCACCCGAATATTTTCGTAGGTGTACGTATTTAAAGATGTTCAATGTATAGTAGTATACAGTATATTCTTAAGTTAATAACATCCAAGTGTCAGAAAAATAATAAAATCATTATATTTCAGTCCACACCATAGGTACATGTATGGTTGTTATAGACAAATATAGTACACTTCTTTAACATATGAAATGAAACATCATTAGTTTTTGCTGACATTCTCCTTGCTTTATCTTACAAATGTACATGGTGCACCAAAAAAAATTTTGTGCACCCAATTTTTTAGATTGGGTGCACCAGTGCACCTACAAATGTATTCCCTAAAATGAATTTCGAGCCCTGATATACCAGTCTCACACTTCCGAAACAAAAGTCACCCAATCATAGATAAAGGTGCCCCAGCAGTGAACTCTAGTCTAAAGCTCTTTCCCTGCGTTGATGCAGTAAGAAGTTGCAAGTGAGAAATGTTAAGACTCACCAGCTGTAAGACATCTTCATCTTTTGGCACCACCAGCAGCTGTAGGTTCTCTTTACTGTAAGACAAACATACATCAGCATATTGGTCAGCTCAACACAACACATCAACTACACAAACATACATCAGCATATTGGTCGGCTCATTCTGACAGAACAGATACAATCTTTATTGACACAAAAAAGTATGGCGACTTACATTTTGTACATCAAGTCTAGACTACTACAACTGAACATAAAAACAAGGGATCGAATGAATTAAAATTATGTATCAGTATTAGAATATGAATTTGACATCTTTTGATATATTTACCACTGTACTTGCACACAGTAAGACATACGGTCTGTACTGTTATCTCCTTCTAGAATGTAACAATTTATTTGTAGCATGGAATGTATCAAATTCTGTTGCGCAAACGGAAAGAAAGTTGAACTTCTTTTGTGTGTTTATCGTAATGTTGTGAACAATCTATGATAAAGTGGTGTTCAACAATTTCATTTTGCCATGGGACTTTATAATATCTACCAATTTCTATATCAAATCTATGACTGCAGGTTCTTATCTTTGTGATTACTCTACGAAATTCAGAATTATATCAGAAAAAAGCATATAAATGCTACCAAAATTTTGTTCAATATGTTAGCAGGGGAGTCTAGTAAAAGACTAACTTAAGCAGTGGTCGAAATACTTTTTTTCAGTGCTCTGCAATATTGCAGAAGAGTCAAAATTTTGTTATGCAATTTGGAAATACTTTCTGCAAATACACAAGCCTCCATACTACAATCTTGCAAGTTTATAAGCATGAACTATTGATTGATATGCAAATTAGTGAAGACAAATTTTTTGAAGTCCAAAAGGAAACAAAAGATAAACAAGTCAAGACAAGGTTGATGTAAATTAGTGAAGAAGCTCCTGTTGTTTCAGAACAGGAGCTTAAGTGTTGTCTGTCCTTGGGGCCAAAAGCACCAAATCCCAAGTGCCAATTTTTCCTGCTGCAAAATTGCAGATTGTATAAATTTTTCTTCTGCAATCTTGAAAATCTATCTGCAGATTGCAGACTGCAGACAGGTATTTCGAACACTGTTAAGTGTACAAATTCATTCCCATTGATGGTCATCATACACACAAGTCTACATGACAGTCCTACCTTTGTTGTATCAGTGCTATGACCTGTGAGTATGTTTTCCCTGTCACACTCTCTCCATTTACAGACACAATTCTGTCTCCTGGGGAGTAAAACAAAGTTAGATATCATTAGCATTAAATTTCAAGTTTAAAAGGAAAAACTCAGGGATGCCAATAATTCAAACGAATTTCACGGAATTCATACGAATTTTACGGAATACACACGATCTATTACTAGGAAACATACACATTTTATGGAATACATACGATCCATTTAATTTACTAGAAACATACGGATTTTACGGAATACATACGATCCATTACGCAGAAATATACGATCCTTACTAATTTGGTGACTTGCACCATTATGTACAGGGCTCGAAATACTTTTTTCAGCCAGGTGGCGCATGTTGCCACCTGAGTCAAAAGCCAGGTGGCGCCATCAGTATTCAAGTGGCAACACTTCCAAGTTATCATTTTCTTCAAATCTGCTACTTATATCTATTACGTTTTCTTCTAGTTAACTACTTAAGTTTTATGTTATAAAATAAAGTAATGTAAAGAACACAAAAGCTCTCAAACAACAATGTTTTAATAAAGAATGCCACCTTTACATCACTTCATCACAGGGCTGCCGCCGTGGGAATGCCACGCTTCTACATGGCGGCACACTTATGCGGGTGGTGTTACGTGCGCCATGTTCTTCGTTTGCGCAAGGATAATGTTACTCTCATCTGCCAAATAAACATACCCCCCGGAATAAACATACCCCCCGGACAAATCTTCAAAATCTAATAAAAAATGGTATTAGCTCCCTTGATTTAAAAAAAAATTAGGCATAGGTTCCCCGGATGACCCCTAACCGGGGGCCAACGGTGCTTCCACAAGTTCAACAAGAAGCCATAGGTGACAATCCTCCGTGAAGTTTTATATATTTCAACAAAAACAATCCCAAGCGTCAACGCCAGACCTACTGTGCAGACATTATAATCAGGCAACGGTTAATACAATGAGGGCGCGTCACAAGCATAAAACATACAAAGAGCTAAATCCATTACTGCTCCCAGGGCGTGTAAAGATACTGTGCTTCAAGTTCGAAGTTCATTTTAATTACACACACACAATCATTGCATTCACATAAAGATCGGACTATCATGGTCGTGTCTAGTAACAAAGACAGCCCCACGTCTTAGGGACTGTACGATATTTAGCGGGGGGGGGAGGTCTGGTGCGTAGGGGGGGGAGGGCCATGGAAAAAATATTTGGCATATGGGGGAGGGCCATGGAAAAAAATCGGGGCTGGGGGAGGGCCATGGAAAATTTGTTTTACGTATCCGTCGTACGATCCTACGTTCCTAGCTCTGAAAATGTGCAATGCTTCTCGGAAAAAGTGTCCCTCAAAATGCAGGAAATAATGTTCAGAGGGTCAACTTTTACACATTTTTCCCGAACTCTCGCGCCTTCGGCGCTCGACAGAATCTTACGGCTAACAAAATTGAGATGACGGACGGGAAAAATCAGGCTGGCTAGAACACTGATTATTGAAAAATAACAAAAAATGAATACTAAAGCATGTAGGTCTAAGACTAGCACATTAACCAAGAAACACCGGTTCTTTTACAGCAGGCGAGCGCGACGCCCTGACGCTCAAATCTGGCCTGCTTTGTGCTGTTGTACTAAAACGTGATTTGTTTTAAGTTTTT